GTCTCTAAAATCAGCCTGTACTGCACATCCTACATGCACTATACTTTTCAAAATCAGAACAACCTATTTCATATTTTGTACAGGGAAATTAATGTGAGGCAGGTCTGTCAAAATTTAGGGGCCTGGAAGAATTAAACAAAGTCCCAGCCATTTCTTTAGTTAACTTTTTTTATTTTAAATGATATATTCACAAATAATTAATATTTAAAAAAAAAAAAACAGCAGTTTGGGTGGGGGGGGGGGGGGGGGGGGGGGGGGGGGGTTTTTTGGGGAATTTGATGCCAGTTTTCCAAAGCCAGGTTGGCATCAAATTTTCCCATAAGCCTCAGTGATAGAGGTCCTAGTGTTCTCCATTGAATGCTTCTGTTTATGTTTATTGATAATTCCCTTTATAACTTTATATATATTTTTAGGAAAACAATTAACAAATCTAAATAGGCAAATTTAAAAAAAAATTTTGATCAAAGGATTTTTCAAGGATAGCCACAGGGTGTAGCTCATAATTTTTTTTTTTTTAGCGTTGCCGGGTTGACAGGATTTAAAAAACAAAAACAATAAATCATACAATCTTCTGTTGTACTCTCTAGTTGGGAGCCACTGGAGTACAGTGACTAGCATGCCTGCTTTCTAAACCTGTAATCATGGAATCAAATCTGCACTGATATGAATTCTGGAAATTGATAGAGGCTCCCAGACTGACCCCGCGTAAAATGAGCATCAACAAATGTCTTACGAAGATGGATAGTGTGCTACCCCATCATCAAATCATGCTGTTTGGTTTATAAAAATATGCCTGAAGAGTCTCTTAGCAGCAATTTAAACAGTCGTATTCTGTTCAACCTATCTAGGTTAAAAGTGGGATATATAGTATTTTTTTTCTTCTTCTGTTTTCTATTTATTATATATTTATGCTTGTCGTTAACTTTTGAGTATTTAATACTGCACAGATTATGTATTAACTGTAAGAGACTGTAAAAGTATTGACTGTTAAGTTTAATACAATTTAGGTGTAATTTTTAAATAATTGTGAAAATCATATTTTGTAATCTATCTTTGCGAATATTTAAAGTGATATCAAATATAATTCTTACCTACTTACTTACTGACTAGTAATAAATGATTAATCAACCCTCTAACCATTTCTAAAATTGAATTAGAAAAACACTCAGAGACCACAAAGACATTTTTCATAACCACATCTGCTCGGTCACCACACTAGTTGAATGAAACATAAAAGACAGAAAGAACACAATGAGCATTCAAACAAGATACTAAAAACATGCTCAGGAAAGCCAGTTAAATGGTTTAGTTTTTAGCATGAAAGTGTAATTCGCCCTATACAATCAGAAATGATGCAACTGACAATAAAAGTGGAGTTGTTTTGTTTGTAAAAGAAGCAATAATAAAGAGATACTAATGATTTTGTTGATAACCATTTTTTTTTTACTAACATGCTTTATGTGAATAGTTTTTTAATGTGGGTAAATTATATGAAAAAGGATAGATGGTGTAAGAGGTAGTACAAAGACGATGATTAGTCTCCTAATAAAATTTATTTCAATAACATGGTTTGCAGGAGGGGTTTTCTCCTATTTTTGGGTAAAATAGAAGTTAATTACTAAAAGAACAGTTAGACTATAAAGAAGAAATGGTCAGTCTGCTGATAAAATTTATTTTTCTAACATAGTTTATGCGATATTTTTTAAGGTGACAAAACATAAACTGACATACTAATCGAAAGGACAGACGGTAAATACTAACTAGAATAAATTCATTTCACAAATATAGTTTAATGGGAACTGTTTTTGGGGAGTTACTGGTATATTTTTATTTTACTAACAGGATGGATGGACAGTTAATGTATTTATTGACTTAACTAAACAGTTGAGAAAAACAAGAAGATTATGAAGAATAATACATTCATTTCCTGTAACTAGGGGGGGGGGGGGGGGTGGGGGGAATCTAGGGGGGGGGGGGGGGGGGGGGGGGGGGGGGGGGGGGGGGGGGGGGGGGGGGGGGGGAATTAGGGGAAAAATGTTCCAAATCTATATGACATAATTCTATAAATCCTTTCTATTGTCTCCTTTTATTTTAAACTAAGTATTCTTTGTTTATTTTCTGACACTCCATAGTGTGTGTCTGTATGTTGGGCGGGCAGCAGGATGTGAAAACCCAAAACCCCAGCCCCCCCCCTTAGAAGAAAGACCCCCCCCCCCCCCCCCCCCCCCCCCCCCCCCCCCCCCCCCCCCCCCCCCCCCCAACAAGCATGACGTAAAAGTTGATTAATTCGAGTGTTTACTTCGAAGATGGAGTGCATCAGCCTGAGAGGCAACAAGCCAAAAGTCTGCATACAAATAAGCCAGATCTGTAAAACAGATGTGCATGCAAAATTCAAGTTCTGGATTAAGATTGAAGTCCAGAAGTGGACAAACAATTATAACTTTCTGACAGAGTGTACTAGTTTGATAAAAATGAAAACGTTTTTGATGTAAATAACAGATGGTTTCAATAGCACACAGTTGAATAATAACTAGATAGAAATATAACATTAGAGAAACTATTCAAAAATGTGATGTGTCTATTGTCAAGGCACCAAAGGAGAACAAAGCAGCACCTAGTATCTCATTCAAAATCCAAACCAGTAGTAGAGAAGTAAAGTAGTTATAGAAACAGGATGGCACAATTTTTCACAAAAATTATTCTATAATATGACGGGTAAATACACAGATGAGGTATGGTGGTGTTCAATTTTTGCAAGCATTTTAAGGGGGAGGTTTACCTTTGTTGACATTTTTCACTTTAAAAAACAAAAAAAAACAATAATACCTTTGAAATAAACATTTTTGCAGACACACAAGAAAAGTTGACAGTTATGACGTAGTAGAAAATGAGTAAGAACATATTAAAGGAGGGCAGTTAGAACAAACCAAATACAGAGAAGAACGAAAATTGACATACTGATGAAAACATTACGTATGTTTTATAATGACCACTAAAGATATTAATTGTGTTTGCTGAGTCTGGCATGAAAAATATGCGTCTGAAAATGGACATACATTGTTTACACTTAACATTTGGTGAAAAACAGACAGAGATATAAAACAAGAGAAAGTGTGCAGCTTCGTCTCTTTAAAAAAAAAATTATCTATTGATGGAGGGGCCACAGTGAAATAGGGGTTAGTAAACATACCTGCCAGAAGAGTGATCCAGTTCAAATTAAGACAAGGCAGGATTGTCTTTTGCAATCAAAATGACTACAAGATTGACGGTCACATTAAAAATAGGTATCAGTTAACTTTCTGTGAACTGTCTGGGAAGAAAAGACTATGAGGGCAAACACTGGCCACCTCACTTTGCATGTTGTGGCTTAGAATGTGTCAAAACCTAATTTTTGTGGGTACCAGAGAATAATTTAATTAGATGTAAATAAACGCATGGTGTGTTCCTTGGTACTAAAAGTTAACACTCCATACACTAATGACAGCATTTGTTATGGAACTAACTACCTTTACATTTGTTGAACATTTATTTTCCTCTTCACTGCATCTGAGGCATTAACTCTCAAATGAGAATCGAAGAGGAGCAAATTTAATGAACAACCCTGCTGACCATATGTTAGTTATAAATGGCACTCTTTTGTTACCAAGTTACTTGCAGTCTAGAATGGGTGGGAGTGATTCCTAATAATGTCCCTTACATTTAAACTTAGTTTTTTGCCCGGCTCGCTAGTGTAGTTGGCAAAACCGGATTGCGCGGTGACCGGGTGACGAACTCCTTGTGGTCCGGGTTCACTCCCGGGGGTAGGCAGAAAAGCCACATTTGTACCAGATTTACAGTATTTACAATGGAATCAAGGCCGAAAGGTTGCGATATCCATAATACGGAGCCAAAGGGTTAACAACTCATGGCTTCTGGGTACTTAAACAAACTTAGTTTTTAAAATTTCCCCTCCAGGACTGCATCTGTAAGATTAACTTTGTTGCTTTGCACCCAAAAAAAAAAATGTCACGTTCAACCAGCATCCCCCTCAGGGTTTATTTAGGTTATAATTGTGACTAGGTAATTTGCGCATATAAATGGCTTACCAGTGCTCACCACAAAGTAACTCTGAAAAGGCCTCTTGCAGTGTTGATGCGATTAAAGGAGACAGACCCAAATACCGCCATGACCAGTGACAAAGTACTGGCCAGCCAATGGGTGACATGAAGGATTAACATCTTGTGGATAAGAATCAAACCACAGCAAATCTTAGACATCCTGTTCAACCATATAACACATAGTTATAATGGGAAATCTCTGGTTACAAATTAACCTGCAGTCCTGTACGGGTGGGTGTAATTCCTAATAATTCCATGCTTTAATTGTGAAAAGACTTTTCTTAACATGGGTGGGTCTTGCTAGTCAAACTCACCATTGCCTGGGATTGTGACTTCCATACGTTCCCACAGCCCCAAAAAAAACATATCGTCTAGAAAGACAAAAAAAAAGTGCCATGCAACGATTCTTAATGCTGTCTTTTACATTGTTTTCTGTATATTATTTGACTTAATGGTTTTTCCTTCCTTATGGAGTTGAGCTTTATGATGGTAAAGTTAGTCCCACAGTAAGTACTGGTGATGCAGTGTTAGTGCAGAATCTTCACATACTCTAGACAACAAAAGGTAGCCTGCCCAGTTCTTTTCTTTATTCTTTGCCTGCCTAGAAAGTTCACAGAAAATTTGGAACATTACCAATTTTTATGGGCTAAGGTTAAAGCCGCAGCCGCAATATTTATGAAGAACAACCTTTTGCCTTTACTTAAGATTGAATCTGGACCACTGAGTAAAGAGATACAACAATTACGTACAGTATCTCAGCCAAGTTGTCTTTATAAAACTGGGGAGTATCTAAAAATGCTTAAGACAGGATTATGGAAAACAAAAGAATCCCTGAACCCTAGAAAAGGATTTGGAACATATAAAAAAGCCCCCTGAAGCTGCATACTCCCTCCTACAGCCTACCAGAGTTGAGCAGCTGTTTGTGTTGTTATTGGAGGCAACTGCCTGACTGCGAGCATGGGCAGCCCGCACCAAGGCCTGCAGGTGACTGGGTGGATGGAAGTATTTGCACTGGTCTCTTGTACATTTGCTCTTGACAAAGTCCATACAGACCGTGACATGGTTATCTGTGGCGTCGACCACAATGTGGTCTGCAGGATGTGCGTAGCGGCATTCAGAAGCAGGGCGAGAACACGTACCACGCTGAAACTCACGACATACCTGTGAAAGAAAGCAAAATAAAAAAGACAAAAATTAATCGGTAAGAAAAGCTTAACTAAACTTAGCAGGACAACAATGACAACTATTCAAAATAATGTCACCCCGATGTGAATTTAAGTAGCATTAGCAATACTGGCTGACATCCGTGGCATAGGCATCGAGAACACGCTTCAATAATGGCTGGGGGCGATTTGGTAACAGAACGTCTTGCCCTGGTTTCAACAGTAGTACCAAGAGCTGACAGTTCAGAAAGCAATAGCAATCTACTGCCAATTACTGCCTTTAATATACGGTGTAGGCAGGGGGGTCTTTGAGCCTGAGGACAGCAAACTACTGCCTTTATTATACAGTGTAGGCAGGGGGGGTCTTTGAGCCTGAGGACAGCAAACTACTGCCTTTATTATACGGTGTAGGCAGGGGGGTCTTTGAGCCTGAGGACAGCAAACTACTGCCTTTATTATACAGAGTAGGCAGGGGGGGTCTTTGAGCCTGAGGACAGCAAACTACTGCCTTTATTATACAGTGTAGGCAAGGGGGGGGGGGGGGTCCTTTGAGCCTGAGGACAGCAAACTACTGCCTTTATTATACAGTGTAGGCAGGGGGGGGTCTTTGAGCCTGAGGACAGCAAACTACTGCCTTTATTATACAGTGTAGGCAGGGGGGGGGGGGTCTTTGAGCCTGAGGACAGCAAACTACTGCCTTTATTTTACAGTGTATGCAGGGGGGTCTTTGAGCCTGAGGACAGCAAACTACTGCCTTTATTATACAGTGTAGGCAGGGGGGTCTTTGAGCCTGAGGACAGCAAACTACTGCCTTTATTTTACCACTTGCGATGTAGGCAAGGGGGTCTTTGAGCCTGAGGACAGCAAACTACTGCCTTTATTTTACCACTTGCGATGTAGGCAAGGGGGTCTTTGAGCCTGAGGACAGCAAACTACTGCCTTTATTATAACACTTGCGGTGCCTGAGGACAGCAAACTACTGAAAGTAAAATTTGCCTAGAATACCCAAAATAGCCCCCCAAAAAATGCTGGGGTTGGTTCTGCAACATCCTGTAAAGGATACACAACTAAGTAGCAATCCTAAGGAGCTGCAGATGAATAGTTAAGAATACTGGGATTCAATCCAGGAGACCCAGATTTAAATTCTTGGTATCTGCCTGCAGGGTCCAAGGCCCTATTGTAAATTAATTTAAGTTATCACCAAGAGAGGAGCGGCTGGCTAAACGGTTAAGAATGCAGGGCTCTCATTTCAGGTTGAGGATTCTTTTCTGTTTCGGGCAAAAAACAAATCCTTACTTGCACAGTCCATGGTGACAGCACTAGCCATGACCTTCAACCTCAGGCTCAGAGACCCTCTGCCTACACAGCAAATGCCTTGATGCCCAAAACAGTAAAAGAGGAAGTAAAGAAGAAGAAGAGTGCTAACAAGAAGAGGAATCCTCTGCAAGGTTATGCATTTTTCCTGTCTGGGCAAAATAAAAATCCTAACCTATACATAGAGCTGTAATAACAGCATTTAGGGACCTTGGGCAAACCTGTGTGTTGGTACCCCTCTGAAAACCACTTACAGGAATTAAATCTGTATTTAGGGAGAGTCACTTCACATACACAGATTAGCACAGGGTCTCTATTCTCATGGGGCAAAGGTGGCTACCCGGCATATCAGACTAACCCCTTGATGTCACAGCTTCAGCACACTTCCCTTATGCATCTACAGCAACAGCCATCAAACATCCCAATGTCCTGCGAGTATTACATTTACTTTCATCATCACTCCAGGACTAGCTGTTTGTTCACTAGTTTTTCAACAGTGAGGGACATTGGGTTGATTCATTTTTAAACCATAATGGGCTCTAGAACCACACAGGGAGTCAACTGTAATGAGAGTGACACTGTAAAAGGGACCTGCTACATGACTGAAGAGCCAAGGGGACAAAACCCAGTGCCTGTAAACAACAATCCAAGGTGAACTAAAACTGAGGGAGATCAGTACTATCATTGTTTCATTAGTGTCATAGCTGATGACTTTTTATCAAGCCAAACCAATCAATAGGCTGGAGGTTGCAACGGCTTCACATTTGCCTGCTAACCCAAAGGTCTAGGGTTCAAATCCATTTCAAACCTGTGTGGGTTCACTTGGTGAATGATGAGGTCAACATCATGCTGGCTCCCTTCACTTCCCAGGACTTTACCTAATACCCACACTCTAAAGCAATATCAGCCTAAAAGCTAAAAAAAAAAAAAAAAAGTTAGTTTCGTATCCCTTACAGTATGTTGCAGTTGTTGTGGTTTTCTAGGCAAATTTTACTGTCAATAGTTTGCCATTGCTCTTGAACGGTCAGCTCTTGGTACCACTTATGAAACCAATGCAAGATAAACCGTCCACAACTGGGATTGAACCCAGCACCCTGCAGCTCCCACAATATCAAGTTTTATTTGAAACTGTATCTTTAAATTACAAAGTCAACAGTCACCTATTTTCTAAAGTGCACAGCAATTTCAGAGAATCTAGCAAGCTCAATAAGGGATACACAAGCATTGCAGCATAAAATGTCAAAGCATCTGAACACCAAGAAGCCACCACACTCAGAGAAACACAGTTGCACACTGGCATGCAAAACAAAAGAAATGTACTTCACTTATCTAACTGTGAAACTGTGTATTTGTCTGCTTGCACATATATATCTTGCTGTGTGTGTATGTGCATGTGCGATCGCAACACTGTAAGGTCTATCCTTTAAAGCCACAATGTCATTAAAATTAAATATGACATATATGACACTTCCACTTTTAATATTAACGTAATCACCATCATACACCAACGGCAGTGGCAAACTAGTTGAAAACATTACTGGAAAAAAGCCAGTGCTCATCCTAACTATACAAACATGACGAGAGAACAAATTCTGCAAACTGGATGGTGTGCGTGCGCACACACGAGTGTGTGCATGTGTGAGTACAAGTGAGGGCATGTATGTAAAAAATTAAGTGGAAAAAATTATACTAATCCAAAGCCATTTGGTGTAAACTAGTGTCGTCAGCAACTACATATTGAGGGATATACAGAGGAGGGGTTCTGAACACTAATGGACTAAATGGCTCGATGTTCAGTGCGGATGATCTGTTGACTAACATACTTTGAATTCTACATGCAAAAATACAGCAGCTTTAGGAGCAATAACTGATTACTTAATGATAACACGCTTTTTAAAAACCACACTGGAGGGAAAGGCTGAAGGCAAGAGAGCAAGAGGTGGGCAACAATACAAGAGGGAGGACAATATCAAAAGATGGATGAACAGCAGTCTGAGAGAGTGTACAACCAGAGCGTGGTGGAGATTTATTGCAGCTGTCTTTCACTGCGGAAGTGGCACCTGACTGATTGATTGATCATTTAATGGCATGGGTCATTACATTTCTACAGCCCCTCATGTTATGTTATCACAATCAACGTCTTTGCATACTGGGCATCACCATGTGTTCTCAGTCCTCCCATGCAGAAGCCACTCCAAGGTACCTCTACTGATTGTTCCCAAGAGGAGTTGGTTATAGTATCTCCTATCTTTACCTTGAAGACTACATAGATGTGCTTCACCGGGCTAAACACCTCAGTCATGCAGTCATGTTAGCATCAGAGATTTGGCATTATCCTCCAACCTAGACTGTACAGCGTTGATGATATCAGCTCTGTCCATACTTTCTTTTCCATACATCAGTTCAGCTGTCACCACATGTTCCGGTGTCACTCTTCATATAAGGCCATAATTATAACTTCCTTTTTATGATCTACTGATCTCAATGATAAGTTGCCCTCTTGTCCCAGGGCATGCGGGTGTGAAAGGCAATGAGAGAGCAGACGCCATGGCTGGCAGTGTGTCTATCAGGAATAGGCCATCAATGGACAGGAGAGACATTATCAAGCCATACAGGAGACTAAATGCTGTAAAGCTTTTAATTTCATTGAAAATGATTTCTCACAGAACAGACTGCATATCCTGGGTTTACCAATTAGAGCAGCGAGACATGAAAACCATGTGGGAGCCTCCCGTTGCCTAAAAACACTGGAAGACATACTTCAGGAGGAGACTGGAGATCGGAGCATTTATGGTCATAAGTGACGAAGATGATCTTTAACTGAACAATGAACAATGTTCTTTTTTCACGGTCTCTTTTACAACATTTAAGTTTCTGTGGCTTAGAAGTTAGTGAAATGGTTTTACAATGCAGCGTCCACATTTAGCATGGTTCACTTCATGCTGCGGTGACCGTGACTACGAATCTGCAACCATGTCCAGACTGCAAGAACAGCAAGTTAAAAAGGGTTTGGCCAAAAAACAGCACTATGCAGAAAGCCAAATAAACAGAGGAAACCAACATAAAACTGGTGTCATCAGCCACTACACACTGTGGAATTTTTTAGACGGGATGCAAGCATTTATGGACTGAATGATTTGATGCGCAGTTAGTATAATCTGTCGACTAACTCAACAACTGGCGGCAGTTTAGAAAAACATCATTCTCACGGCTTTCAGATAGTTTTATGAGAGTCGCACCATGGAAGAGATTGAGGCCTCACCACACAATATTCCCAAAGTAAACAGTACACATGTTGCAGGTGACCTCTGACATGTTGCAGCTGACCTCTGACATGTTGCAGCTGACCTCTGACATGTTGCAGCTGACCTCTGTTGTGGAGATGCCCCCCACCTTTCCTTAAATATTTTGATTATTCAGTGTGGTTGTTCACTGCCCTACCTCAACCCAAACACTATTGCCTTTTTAAAAAAAAAACTTCTCACATAAATGTGTGTGACTCATCAAGAAGAAATATAACGAACACACAGCAAAAGGGAGGATCATGCAAAAGATCAACTGATAAAACACAGAACAAGCACAAAGAATCTTTACCAACACTTTCATGAAGTAACTGGAGGCAGAGGAGGAGGACAAGGGGAAGGTGGAGGAGGAGAAGTAAAAGAAGGTCAGATATCTGCTAATTAGAAGACCTGTTGTGAACAGTACAGCAATGTGATCAGTGCAGCAATGTGATCAGTGCAGCAATGTGATCAGTGCAGCAATATGATCAGTGCAGCAATGTGATCAGTGCAGCAATGTGATCAGGTGATTTCAACACCAGCATGTGAGCTGAACAACTTAATTATGAAAATGGTGGTCAGAAGAAGGACATTATGTTTTTTTAATGTACCAGGAACTACTCTTTTTACAAAACCCCATGCTTTACAAAATAATTTATGAACTCTACAGTACCAGTAAATGCTAAATAAGTGAAAGGTAATGTCCCGGGAAGTAAAGACAGCCGACATGACGTTGACCACATTACCTACCGAGTACTGACTGGTCTATTAAAAAAATACAATTTTAGCATCATATGCCCATTGCATCACTGGCACAAAAAGGGATCCTATTACTTAACTTAGCTGTAAATTCCACATGGAATATATATGGAAGCTCCGAGTATCTAATAAATATGAATGGGTAGTTTAGAGCATAAGGAAATGTTGGCAACTAACCTGTGTGATATAAGTAGGATAACTAAAGGACTCCATCAGAGATGTGTGTGAGGTCACTGCTTCTCCATTATCTGCGCTGGTCTATGGAGTAAAGGCAAAACTGTATTTTCCACGGATCTTCCCATGATCACAGATAACAGCAAGTTATTATAATGCTCACAACTTACCTGTTTCAATCCCTCTAGACAAATATTAATTAACTCCTCTAGTGTTAATTCAACTTTTTTGTAGGAGCGGGGGAGACTCAAAGCTGTTGCAGTTTAGAGAACGAAATCATTTTCAAGTGTTAAAGTGAATTGCTGCACAACTGCTGATATCAACAGTAATAAGACAAAGATGATGAAGAAATTTTGGGCTTGTTTTGAGTCAAAACAGACAAAGAAACATAAACAGTGAAACAGGAAATATGAAATTAGGAGTCTACAATGCACGTCAATGAGACAGCATACAGGTTCCCAATGCATCACTGGCTTTAGAAGGATTCTTTGTTTCACTCATAAGAAGCAGAAAAACTGTTGGGATAAGTCCCATATGTAACTGTTAAGTTAGCAATGAAATCTACTGTAGCCAACCTCAATTGTGGAGACAGCACCTAGGTGACTGATTTAAAATTCTAATTGTCTGGGACTGGTCGCGTACAGTTCGCTGGTATATTAATGATCTGTTAACTGTTCTTTATATACAACACAAATATTTAAAAAAAAAAAAAAAAGCAACAGAATCATGCAGTTAATACACAACAATAAACACTAGTATTGTATGCTACCAAAAAAAAAAAAAAAAAAAAAGTTTGAACTTATAGAGCATATCATGTAATTAACTTCAAATACTACTGAAATGACATAAATTACTTATTTACAACAGCTAAATAAAAGCAATCTGAAAGTTGTCATGTTCACATGGAATTAATGTTGTGATTTGCTTTTGGGTTAATAATTTCTACAAAAGAATAAACTTAATATAAGGTGTCAATATTTGCTATCCTAGACAATGAGATCACATGTCTTTACTTTTCCTCCGTATAGTTTTTATTAGTTCAGAAGAAAAATAACCCTTTGAATATGAAACTCATTACATTCAAAGAAAACCACACTATTAAGATTCAGTGAGACCAATGCAATCCAAACACTGCAGTTTATCTTCAGAGAAATATGTTTTGTATGAGGTAGCAATGACATTATGGCGCTTCAATTTTTTTTAAATGTGAAATGTGGACAACTAAGTTTTCACCTTCCAATATTTATTACTTATTCAAGTTTTCCTTAGGCTATTTTTATGCTTATTCAACCCCCCCCCCCCCCCCCCCCCCCCCCCAGGCCACACGGGGTGTCACCGCTGAAGGGGTGTTAAAATGACACATAATATATATGTATTTAACATAATAAACTGTGTGTGTATGTGTGTGTGTGTGTGTGTGGAAATGGGGCCAATGAGAGGAAATATTCTGCACTAGGTATCACCTGACCTTGCTACACAAATGATACTAAGAGTGCTACAATTTACCCCCCCCCCCCCCCCTCCCCCAAAATATATATATAATTTGTGCTGCAAATTACCAGTGTCAGACTAGACCATAGTTACTGTTGAGTGGTATAGATTTGTGTTACAAATTACCAGTGTTAGACTAGACCATAGTTACTGTTGAGTAGTATAGATATGTGTTAGACTAGACCATAGTTACCGTTGAGTAGTATAGATATGTGTTACAAATTACCAGTGTTAGACCATAGTTACTGTTGAGTTGATATAGATATGTGTTACAAATTACCAGTGTTAGACCATAGTTACTGTTGAGTTGATATAGATATGTGTTACAAATTACCAGTGTTAGACCATAGTTACTGCTGAGTGGTAAAGAAATGTGTTACAAATTACCAGTGTTAGACCATAGTTACTGCTGAGTGGTAAAGATATGTGTTACAAATTACCAGTGTCTGATCGGATTCACTCTTGTCTGATAAACAATGGACTACAGTGTTTGATATATGGTAAAAAGTTAAGTAAAGGACCTTTTTCCATGCCTTTAGGCATATAAGGCATATAGGGCTAGACCTATATTTTTATATGACTAATTGACACAAGATGGGTGATGTGGTCAGGGCTATCCTCCGAATAACGGGCACAAAAGATGGCAGCCGCAAAATATCCTTACTAGCCTCAGTCACGTGTCAATTGTGCACTTCCGGCGACTACCGCCACGAGTCCCCCACGCCACTCACACGGAGTGGATTGGGGCTAAACTAGATGGCTAGGACTCACGAGCAGCAGCTTCCGCATTTCCTGCAGCTTTGCTCGTGAGTCCTAGCCATCTAGTTTAGCCCCAATCCACGCCGCTCATGCGGCGTGGGGGACTCCTGGCGGTAGCGGTAGTCACCGGAAAACCACAAATTAAGTCCCCGGAAGGATATTTTGCAGCCGCCATCTTTTGTGCCCGTTATTTGGAGGATAGCTGTGGTCAGTATCACGTCAGCCGCCTTTACTTCCCAGGACTGCACCCGGTACCCACTCAAGGCTGGGTTGACCTGGGAGCCAAGGTCATGTTTGAAAAATGATATATGGTGAGTGTTACAAATTAAGTGTTTACAGTCAAAGCCAGGATTCAACACCTGGTGAACTTCTAGAAATCATTAATGTGTTAAAACCAACATGACCAAGAAAGCACACAAAAGCATGCTCTTTAAAGAAAAAAACTACATGAAAAAAAACCACCCTCACACAGAATGACAATACTAACAAAGAGATTAATTATGATGCCTACCTCAAATTTGTCTGCTCTCACTGCTTTGGCTGCAATCATATTGGCCGGCATCCCTTGGGACATGACAGATGTGGGGTCTGCGCCGCCTGGCATGGGCATCGAGGCAAATGAAGTTAAGTAAGGGCTGTAAGTAGCAGCAGGTGGCTGCCCAGGGATGTTAGACAATGTCTGGAGGCCAGGGTAGTGTGTCTGTGGACAGACAGAAAAGTTATCAGAGCAAATATTAGACTTTCTCTGCCCCCAAATTGTATCCTTATTTTTACATAACGTTTTTGAGGAGCGACTGGATGAACAGGTAAAAATGCATGCCTCCTATGTGGGACACCAGTGAGGTTAAGGGGTTTTTCCCTGTCAGTGTCAAAAGCAAAATCATAACCTGCACGCTCAGTGGTGACTGCACTAGCTATGATGCCCTAAATCCTGAGACTCAGATACATCATACCTTAGTCCTGCAAAAGTGGTAAAATACAAGCAGTAATGGCAGTTGTTCTACACATTACTTTAATTCATTTCACAGATATTAGGTTAACTAGTTATGTCTTGATTAGATTTTATATGCGTCCCAATTACCTTTGTCATTACTAAAACTGCTAACTGACACAGTTTTGAAACTAAACCCCTCTGTACAAGTCATCACAAAAGATCTTAATGTATCATGCAGTTCTGATTCTCAACTACTCTGTAGTCTGGTCTTGAGACATGGTGTCTGCCTCGAGTGCTAGAGGTTCCGGGTTCAATCCCCTGTAAGGGCTGGGATTTTTTCAGGTGAACTTGGACTTCTAGTAATTCTCCCTGGTCTCTGGGTAGTGAGATGGGACGCCCGTGTGCATTGTTGCGTACGTAAAAAAAATCCCTTGGCAGTTGGAAATAAAAAATAGTAGCCTAATGGTGCTGCCTGGGCAAAATTTGGAGTTTAAAATCTACCCAAAGTATATCAGGATTGTCGCCGGTGCTAGAGCCTGTGCACTGTGCTGAGCTTCTTCGGACTCAGACTTGAGTTAGAAGAAAAACGCAGCACTTATGAGTTGCACCCGGGTGCATGATGTTGATCCGGTGTTCACAACCTCAAACCACTCTATGTCATAACTTTAAATCCTACTGTATCACGCATTTTTGAAACCACTCTGCCATGTTATTTGTTCAATTCCTTATGTCATTCATTTGAGCACTAACCCACTTTGGTTGTGTTAACACTTGTATTTCTTCTAACCCACTCTGTAAAAGTTATCAACTGAATTAATTCTGTCGTATACAGTTTTGACACTAACAAGCGATGTACATGATATCACTTGAGTTCTCTCTGTCATATACAGTTCTCAAACTAAAATGTACAAGTTATCAATTGTAAACCTCTCTGTCACACACAGTTTGGACACTAAAATGTATAAGTTTTTACTTGTAATCTATCTGTCACATAGTTTTGACACTACCAACTATGTACAAGATACCAC